ACTTGCCGGTCGAGTATGGCCCAGAGGTGTTCGATGGGGTTCATGTCAGGAGATTGGCTCGGCCAGGGCAACTTCTGGATACCATTTTCTTCCTGCCTCTTTTGGGTGTTTCTCACAATGAGGATTTTGCATATATATATCATACTCTTTAAACAAAAATTTATATAGCCCAAACACATCTAAATATATTTGATAAATTTAATTCATGTTTAAATTCTGAAGAAAATTAACGAATATTAATAGAAATTCTTACACATTTCTCATTGCGCTCACTCCCCACTATTTTCTTGTGATATATTTGTCTGAACTTTGGTTTTCAAACTCTGTGTGTGTAGGCATTATGGCGAAAAACAGTAAAATTGTTTTTTACTTAATTTATTTAAGTGTGCAATAAGTATACTGATATAAGTAAAGTGTTCTTGATTTAATTTCATCCGTGTAAACTTCCCATATAGCGTGTGTCAATTTGCCTCATATCCAGGGTAATCTGACACACAGATTATTATATCCAATCCTGAATAAATTAGCAAAAAATAAGTGATATGTTTTTACTACATAATAGAGGAAGGTTTTAGTCAAAATAACTTTTATTTCAAAATTAAAAAAAAAGTGAGCCAACCAGCTCAGATTTCCCTTATTCAGTGTATAAAGTCTAGACGATAAAAATTAACACTGTTGAATATTATCTACTAGCTTTGTGCTTTAAAGGTTAAATTGTTGCCAAGGCTTTTGTTTTATAATTTAGTGGTGAAATCCAAATAAATTATGAATTGAAGGCTTCATGTACATGAAAAAAGTTTATTAGTAGTGTTTCTGGGCGTAAAGAATTTGTTGTTATGTATTTATTTTAATATCGGCGTTGTTTAGATTAAGTTTATATTTAAAAACATACATAGCTTATAGTGTTAGATATGTATTGCGAAACTCCCGCCTATTCTCCAAAGTTGTAGAAGACTCTCGAGGGTAAGAATCAACAATATATCTATATACCCAAACGTTTAAATATAGCTCAGTATTGTTATGTGATCTGAATTTTCTAGAAAACCTTCCCACGCTTATAAATACAACCAACACGACGCGCCAAAAAGAGTGTCTATTAATAGTTTGCTATAATCAGTGTGCTATAAACTTCGAAATATATAACTGTGATTTTCATAACGCTTATCAATCGGAAAACGTCAGATATTTGACCTGGAACATTTACAAAGTTCGAATATTGCAATTTGTTTGGCTTCAGTGGATTCTAGTCGGACATTGAGTTTTTACGAAAATATTGCCTGGTTTCAACGGTGGAAACCTAGCGTTCTTTCTACGGGTTGAGTTAAAGAAACGAGATTACTGGCACAAGGAGAGCCCAGCACAATACTACACTCATGAGCCTGGTCTTTTCTGTTGATTGAAATGGAAAACTCGCAAACATAACTAATTTAAACACTTGTTTCACAGCAAAGCTCAAGAAAAGGTTGTTGTTATTTTTTTATTTTAAGTGTACAGCTGAACAATAAGTTTGTTTACACTGTGCCCATTGCAGGAATGAAAATCCGATTTTTAGCTTACCATTTAACCAATAAGGAGCTCTGAACAAAGGAAGGCATAAAACCAAATAAAAAAGTGAAAATGTTTATTGCAAGTAAACATGATTAAGTATATAATGTACAAAACTTGTGTGAGAGCTAATCTAAAATGTCATAAACTAAGGTGTTTGTAATATATATTAGTGTATCTTGAGCTTTTGTTACTAAATGTTTCAGTATGTGTTATACTGAAACATACATATATTTAAGATAGCATATTAGGTATAGTGAAACACGTCCGTTTTAAGCTATATGGAAGATGTTATGTGAGGGTCAAGATCTAATGTCCAGCATGACGGGGACAGTCAATTTAGTTATTATGGATTTCAAGGTGCATGATATGTTTTGTATAGTTTCTAAAATAAACAAACTTTTATCACTTTGGGGAATGGCCATTCTGTTATGTTTATGGTGATTTATTATATTTAACTAATAACATGATAGAATAAGTATATACCATAGGTATCATTGCATTGGGCTATAGGTTAGGATTTTAAAAACTAAGAT